ATCATTTCCTAAATCAACACCATCACTAACAACATCAGCAGCATCAGCAGCACCACCATCTCCTAAGTTATCAGCACCATCACCATCTCCTAAGTTATCACGAGCATCATCACGATCACCTTTATCACAATCTACCTCTTCACCATCTCCTCCCTGACATAATAGTCCTGATATAATAGGACCATCAGAAACCTTATGCTCAACGAAAATATCTAATTCCCCACACGTCCTAACCAACATAATCAAACCCCATATCCCTGAATCAACATCTTCTTTGATTGGTCTCAACTTATACATCGTCTTCTTCGATTTCTTATACCACATTGCAACCATAGGTGACAATTTCAACTTCTTCAGTAAGTCCACAAAGTGAAAACCAAGACAAATATTCAACATTCATCTTACTCTCGATCTTCTCTACACAACCACTACTGTATTTTATCTCGCCATCCTCTTTTTCGAGAGTACCTCCCACATAGATGTTTAGTCTGACAATGAAATCGTCAACCGACATCCTGTGAAGAGAAAAACAACCATATTAAACACTTACAAACCGACAAACCAACAAAAATGGATCCCAATCCAAATACAAAAAGAAATTAGTGGGTTTTGGAACAAACTATGCTTTATAACCGACAAAATGAAATTTATTACCCATAAACTTTTTCGGAAAACCCACGGAATATAACTCAGAAACAAACTCGAAGATTTTCTTCAAATCTAACATATAAATCCTTTCAAACAAACGAAAAAAAAAACATAAAAAAATTTTTATCGTTACCTCAACTCTTTCACTCCGCCGAAAACCCTTGAACACCAACCCACACAGAAATTTTGTTACTTTGTTTTGATCGGAACCTCCCACTCGCAGCAACTGAACGGCGACGTGGTTCTCTGTCGGAAGTTCAAGAGGGCCTGCACTGTTCAAAACCTGTCGGAGCCGCAACTGCTCAGCTTTGAGAACGAAGCTTACGGCTCTTACATGAACTTCCTCCGGCAAAT